CCGGGAGCCGTTAACGGATGTTCCGGGATAGAGAGTAAACGGTGGCGGGGGCGGAGGCGGGGCTGGGGCGGCGGGCGAGGTTCATGCCGAGCCACGCGATGCGACGGTTGCTCTACGAGCTCTGCCCGAGCACGCTCGGGCTTACCAACTCCGCGCCCACCAAGAGACGACTTTCCGGCGGTATAACTCCCACTACACCTGCGGCAACAAAACAAAAAACGCTACAAAGCCGGCTACTCAGCTACCAAAGGTTCCGCTAAAAGAACCGCGCAAACAAACAAAACTTCTCATAGTACACCCGTCATAAATGAACACCAACTTGAGCGGAACCCTGACAGAATCCAAACTACATAAATCTTTTCAAAAAATTTACATGAAAGGAAAAAACAAAAGTTATAAAAAAAAAGCATTACGCCGAGGAATAGTAAAAGCGGAGAACATCGCCCAGAGCTCCACTCATCGAATCTTTATGGGAAAACTTGGAATTGATAGTTTCCTGTTTACTGTTTTCGAGCTATTTAAAATTGTTTGCACGCACAGACACGGAATAATAGACTGGCTTAATATGTTTTTGTATTAAGGAATACCCTCTGTATCACGCACAGCCACGATGCAGGGAACAAGGGGTCATTACGTGCCTTACTACCTATTGATTCGATCATCAAAATTGTATCAAGAACATGGTGTTATTTACTGAATAATTCATTTGGTATTAGTATATCCAAACACGCAATGAATCACGTAATAAGGGTATGGCCATTCTGGCTGCCCAACGCTTATGTAGACGGACTCCGAATTGATTACCGAATTATTGTTGATGATGACGATATAGAAACCGGGGCAACTGGGCGGCGCTGATGAGTGAGTGTATGAGACTTATTCTATGCGATATAATATTCAAAGCTTATTATGTATGACTAGTTTAGAGGATGGCGATAAGGACGGTCGCACATGCAGCGATTCATGAACGATGTTAACATATGGTTAAAAATTTAGTTATAATACCTTAATTTTGAGAAATAAAATTATTGCGAGGTGTTGATAAAGCAATGGTTATTCACGTAAAGAATGACAGTCCTTTCCGATCATTCGTTAAAATAGTACAATGTACTTATTTTTGTATCGTTACTGTACATATGCTGAATTGTTTAACATGAAGAAAGTAGCGTAAAATTGTCGCATCCAAAAATATTACACAACAACAACGTTAAACCTCAGTAACAATAACATTATTATTTAAGCAGTGTAAATATTTAAAATATAATAGAGAAATAACTTTTCGAACTGAAATTACAATATATACACAAATATTTATAGCAAATATTTAATAAGATATTAAAATAACACTTTCCAAGCTCGATTTAGTGCTTAATTTTTATTAATTAGAATGAATTTCAAAATAATCTAAACTAATTCTATAAATTGATATTAGCTACGCAAATGAGAATATCTATATGTTACTCATCCTCTAAACTTAGTAATTTTTCGAAACGAATGACTAATCGTCTAGTTTTCTTACTATCTAAAGATTTTATTACGTTTAGTAATTAATATTCTTAAGATTTAAAAGATGCTAAATTGACTGAACACGACATTGTATTACACTAAAGTCCACAATTAAAAATGATAAGTTTTTAAATGTATCACTTTAAAGAAGTATCTTCATTAGATGTAAACAACTCACCTTAACGAGTTCTTGAATTGATCACATTTGGTCAATGGCATCATATTGTTGTGTTTATTATTCAGTAATTTAAAAAAAAATTCCAAATTTATATTATTTAGTCAGTTCATTAATTTTTAAAGAATGCTATTACATAGACCTTTGAATAAATTGCGTTGCGTTGACGCACGTGAAACTTTAATTATTTATTGCCAGTGTTACCGGGTTTTTAAATAAATATCCGGTTGTACACTGATATCGTATGCACAAAGTGGCCAAGGATGAAAAGCCTGGTATTAATTTTCATATTTTATACATGTTGGTTTTTGAGATGATTTTGTATGCATGCTCTGGGACTAAACGCCCCTACCAACGGTTTATCTGTTTACCTACTTACGTAACTTATGGAAATAAAAGTGAAAAAGATATCTATATAGCGTCTTCACAAACTTAAGACAATTTTGTGTTTTAAAGCGACTCGTCTTTGTTAAATCATTTATTATTGTAAATATTAGAATCCCATATATGTGTCTAAGTTTTGAAACCAATGTGTCGCGGTATCGTGTCCAGTCACAACTACACGTACATCCTATTCAGATCCAAACTACGCTCTAGCTACAGTTGCTATGTAGATGATATAAATACTAATCTTATTTATACTCTAGAAAACTACATATTTGCCGCTATGATTAAGAGAATACATTCTAGATAATAAAAGACGAAAAAGTTAAAATTGCTACGCCTTAGATTAAAACTACGTCAAAGGGTACTAGAATCTAGACCGGGCTACAATTTTCAATAAATATGTAGATTAGGTTATCAGTTACTTGTTTTTAGCTTGTAATACCTTATGAGTTGCAGAACTTCGCCGCATCGGTTATGTGACTATGTTTAACTTGAAATTTGCAATTATACTAATACTTTACGTAGAGTTTTCGTTGTAATAATGGATCGTAGTTGGGTATAAAATTGCTCCAAAATGTGGTGCGAACTATGTGTAAACTATGCCCTTGTGACTCTGCTATTATATTATTCGCGAGAACACGCGGAAGTCTTCTGTATTTTACAAAAGATAATTTTCTTCTCGATATAGCGAAAATAACCTTGTATAAATTCGCTAAGTCACGTATAATGTTAATCATTCCATTAAAAACTAACAAAGTTGTTTATACGTTCGAAAACTGTCTTCGTACCGACAGTACGTGCAGTCGTTTCCCAAGTTTCAGGAAGAGACTACTCCATATTAAAGGCTCGAGACGAAGTTGTGGGTCGTAGCGACGCGCCACTTTGTCATAGCATCTGCTGTGTCAAACGACGTAACCACGTTTTATTTCTTTATAAAAAACAAAATTAAAAGCGCATTATACAGCGTAGTACGCAAAGGCGAGACTCTTCAAAATTACCATAAAATGTCGAATTTAATTAATCTATTCGGAGTGTACGTATCCGAGGTTTAATAATTTATGGTGGAGTAAATATTGGTGTTGTAGATGACGTTACCATTACGCTGGCAGCGGCGGCGAAGGTATGCTAATGGGCGAAATGGTCGCACATCAATTGTGGCCAGGAGTCGCGCCGGCGCACACTGTACGCACGCTGTGGTCATATGCTCGTCCAACATTTAGCTACCGGATTTTCGTGTGAAATTTCCAGCTATAGTTGTGAGCTTGCTTCATATAGAGTTACGACCACAATGCCAGTAGAAAGTATTCGCTACATTCATTCTTATCTCGAATTTAGTCACTTTTACCGCTTTACGTATACAAACTTTCAGCGAACCATGAACTTCCTCGTGTGTGGGCGGATTATCTAGGCAAATGAACGGCTGAGTCGCGTTCGATAACGCCATTAATTTAAACGGTTCACCCGTACACCTGTGTAATTACTGGGCCGCGCCATTGTTCAATTATATTTACAATTGAACGAACGCCCCACAATCGGTGAGGTTTTTTTGTGAGCGGGCGAATAGAAACGTCTGTCTCGCGTGCCGTAAAACGTTCGCTCTAAAGTAATTAACGCGGAACGATTTGTATGACTAATTCGAAAGATAAAGTTTACGTACTGCGGTCAGTCATTGTTCAACTTTATCATTACTGGCACACGCCGAAACACGAGTTAGACTAAAACACACAGTTAAGCATAGCCTCCTCAATTAGGATTTCCAATAGTGTTCGCTTTTTCAGATTCCGCTTGCGTCTGACCGAAAAAGTCGGCAGGCACGCGCCCCGACCTCAAAAAAATGGGAAGTCGAAGCTTAGTGGCGTAATTATGGCGGAGCAAAGGCGGCTCAAACACGGGGTGTGGACAAATAACAAGAAGAGTATTTGTGCAGCTGCTCTCCGCCGTGCCACTTACCTATTTAGGAGCGGTCGCACTCGCGTACTGCCTACCCAGCCTGTCTAACTGACTGCCTGTCGCTTTGGTTACCAAAGAGGCGGCGAATGTTATACGTGGGCCTTCCAACAGTAACAGGACACACAAAATTTACATTTTAGTTATATTTAACGAACTCGACGAGTTTGACCTTTCGTTGCCTTCGTTGGGCTACGTTTAATTAGTGGTATTTCTTTTTCGACTGCCCTGAGATTTGCATAGAAGTTACCACAAAGAGGCCGTCACTTTTTCAGTTTGAATCTATTTAAATCTCTTTTAAAAGCTTTTCCTGTTAATGAGGAGAGGGCGATGGTGCAGTACTAGGAGGGCAAAAGCCGGAGCGGGCCGCGGGGAGGGGCGCCGCGAACACGGTATTTGCGCTGGAGTATTTGCTCGACGCGTAGCATTTGAGAATCGTTAGGGCGAATCGTCTGTAAACATAGAGCGAGGCGCTCGCAATTGGCCGGATTGTGTCGCGAAATTCTGAAGATAAACAATAAATAGCATATCTCAAAACACGGACGTTTTGTAATTGACAGTATAGCAGATTTATTTAGATGGTTCAGTCATTGTTAAAGGTGTTAACTTGTTAGTAAAGCCGTTAGTGAGAGTTCAGCCCAACTTTTGCTTTGGAACAAGTTAGCTTAAATGTGAAATTAGGACATAGTTACAGCGCTGATTACGGATATTAGCGTATGCGTTGTTAAGTTTAAAAGTATTAGGCGAGGTATGGGGAGAGAGAACGGCAGCGATTCGTGTTTGGATTAGGAAGCGATAGGGGCAAGCGAATCGTTGCCGGTCGGTTAGCGGTTAGTAGAATGCATTGTCGCTGTACGAGTTCACAGATGCATGGCGTGTACATTGTAAACGCCGCTCAATTCGAGCGGGTGGTAAGGCAGGAGTGTCGCCAGGTGGTGATAGTGATTGCCGGACAGTTGGTGGTGCAAGCTCGCCAGGGGATTACCTGCAGGGTATGGCAGCCCGAAGCTAGGATAGCCCGAATAGCTACGTCCTGCCGCGTAGGCGGCGTACGCTGCGGGGAAACCTGCGCAACAAACAATAACACGTTACACACTGCAGTTTTGATTCAATCTGTTGAAAAGCAAGGGTTAATCATTGGATCGCATGCTACCTTTCGTATTATTAGAATGAAATATTATCGACATTACGTCTCTGTACTAATACAATTCGTCTGATACAAAACTGTATAGTTCACGTGTCCCGATGGCCTAATTCTAAAATAGAGCTGTCGCATAAAAGGTATGTTAGTACATCGTACATGTTTCGTACGACATCGCTTTGGACAATGTCCAGCGGATGATATTTTGTAAACACTGTTTAATGTAGCGCACAATAAGTGGACCATCGACGGCTTCATACAGCTATAACAGATACCTACTATCAATAAACAAACTCACAAAATTACCAAACAGAACTAAAACTACTACTAGGTATATTCATCAAAACATGACATTATAAATCTAAAGAGAAACAAATACATCGACAAATGAAAAGTAGCTATTGATATTATCTGTAGGTACTGGTTTTGTTAACAAAATGAAAACCATTATAAAATGCAAAATGAATGATGGCCGGTCCGTCCACAGCGGCTGATATGATTACTACAGCGGATCATTTATCATATTATTGCCAATCAAAATAGTGTATCTGTCAGGCCACGCGATCCATCATACGCGGATGGACGTGTAACGCGACACGCCGACGCTCTATAATCCGTTAATTAAATGTATCAACACCTAACGCTTTAAGTGAATTGGTGACTCAATTAGTTACTGCCATAATCCATTTCATACTCCCAATTAGCAAGACTTAACGATCGAAGGTATGTTCAAGCTGGGTAGTGTTCATTCCGATGTGAGAGAATGATCTGACAGATGCAGGAATAGCAGAAATGAAGTGACATTGGAAAATAAAATGTTAAATTAACTTACCGTCAGGAAGAGCACCCAATGACCACATGAAATCTAGAAACGTAAAAACATTTACATAAATCGATCGATCCTTACACGTTACATAGTTTTATAATATGTGTACTTGTTACATATAAAGGGTGGTTGTGCCGTGAGACACTATTTTGCTTGGCGAAAAATTTTGACTTACACAATTATCGATTATATAAAGTGGAGTATATAATATACAATACTTATAATTTATATAAAGAGCATTCTATAACTTGACTAATCTACCACCAAATATCTAGAGCTTTTAAAAGGGGTAAGTTAGTGTTTCCACTATACATGAAAGTAGTCTTCCCTAGACGTGTTATTTCTATTCTACACATTGTTAGTCTAGAGCTAAACATGTTAAACAAACAGACATTCTTAGATATTTTAGAAATGACTTTTATTAATCTAAATTCTACCGAAAAATCATTACGTTAATACAATTAATTCTATTAGTTTACGAGAGCTACGTTTAATAATACAAAATTGAGTGAATGAACCTTGCTGTTACTCTCAAGAGCAGTAACAGTTATATTTATGAAAACTTGGACGATTTAAAACTAAATAAAACTAATAGTGAACATAAGTCTTACTTTGGCATTGCACAACATAAGTAAATAATAATGTAAAGAGTAAGGATTCAAATAAAGTTAATAAATTAACTATTTTCACTAAAAATACACAAGATAATTACGATTTTTAAGTACCTAGACTAGATTCAATTGTCTTAATTAAAATAACAATAATTTTTAAATAAAATAAATAAAATAAAACATTGGTCTAATAATCTCACATAACTCAACAATAACATCCATGATAATAGGTACCTCTTTTCTCCCACTGATAACATTTTTTAGCCGACATCAAGCTGTAAAGCTATCGAGGTAAAGCTAAGGAATATAATATCATTTATGAAAATATTTTGCAGTTACCTACTTCACAATATCCGCAATGGAAGATATAACTAGACTGTATCTAACGGTTAGTTTGTTCATGGATGGATTGTAGCAGGTTGGCAAGAATCAGCAGAACCATAATGGTCCTTCGTAAATTGTCCCTTATTAAAAGCTACATAGAAATCAGAAAATACCAGGCGCTTTGACTATATCCTCTATCTATTCGTTAATCAAGGAATTAAGCACCTACTACCTGGTAAAAAAATAGTCTATTTTCCCTAGATAAAATTGATCCTGCATTTTTGTTCTACTTTTTTAAAAATTGTATATTATTTATGTATAAAATTTCTTATAAAGAGCTGTTACTAGAGATACAGCGTCTATTAATGTCAGTACATATTTTGAAATTCTGCTATCTAACTGACTTTCTAATAATGGCAATTACTAAAATAAGACACTTTGGATATTTTATCAATTTTCTTAAGGTACAATAGATTTGTCACGTCGTTGGTAGGAGAGAAGAGAATGGGAATGTCAAATAGATATAGGAATGGATAAAAGGACTCACTGGTGCAGTAGGAATGCAGATGAAACGAATAGAAAGGGTCACTAATATTGCGAGAACTGTTTCAATCGCCTAAAAAGGATGATGCGGATGTTGTTGGAAAAGAATCGCGGATCAGAGAGGCAAGGGCGTGGGTAGCGTTGTCGCGAGAGGAGAGTACAGAGTTGGAATATCAAGAGCATGTGCACCGAGTAGTTCAGATACTGAGTAGGCAAGAGGTGGGATGGCGAGAGGCGCGAGTGTCGGGCGCGAGGGGCGCGGTGTCGGACGGAGAGCGGCGAGTGCGCGGCGGTAGGCGGCGGCGTGCGCGCTACTTGCTCCCGCACCCGCGCCCGCGCCTGTCACTAGGATCTGCGTCGGCGCATGGACAGGATAAGGAGCGTACCGGACGCCGCCGGCGCCGGCTGCTACGGCGCTACCTAGCAACTCACCGTACGCGCCGCGTCCGGCGGCTCTCGTCTTCGCCAGATTTGCTGGAAGCATGACTTCTTTGGGTTGTGCTTTTTTGCATTCCACCTGTAACAATGGACGCTTATTTCAATGAAGTGTACTAAATTTATATATACATATAATTATTCAAATAACCTGAAGTCAGCGCAATTGAACAAAAACCTCCTTGAGATTGGGCGAGTCGAGAATAATAAAGAAAGGGGGCGACAAAATCGGTTGACAATCCGTTATGCTTCACGGTTCGAGTCACAAATTGAATTTTAATTTGCTTTACCAAGTCAAGGAGCTTATCATGGAATACTTATTATACAGCAAGACAAATTTTACGAGGTCTCAAGTAATTGTTAAGAATCGTAATGTCGAATTTAATTTTGTTGGTAGACTTGATGAGAGCCCCGTGTAATAACCGTTAATACTTTTGATAAAAAGATTGTGTTTATTGTAGACTAAAGGATTTTTTATTAAGCCAATGCAAAGAAAGAACTGCTGTGATGAATAAATGTATGAAGCATTGAAAATTGCACCAGACATAATAACCACCTCGTATAACGTATCACTATAATAACTATTCACTATATGTGCGTCGTGCCATTGGCTATCAAGGAAATTAATGTAGCTCATAATTAAGCCTTGCGTTTAATCGATCCATTAAGTAATTTTAACGAACAGTATGGCTCTTTCAGAGCTTGTATCTTCTTCCTCCCCTAGGGGGCGGGCAGGAGGCAAGTATAAATTACCCAATCTACGTTAACCCAGGCCTTCTGCAATACAATTTTCGCTATCAAGTAGCGTCGTTAGAGAAAAGTACGTAGGCTTAAATTATTTTAAAGCCGGTATAACTGATTAGATTTCGCAGATTATTTTGTTCTACAGAACATGAAGACATTTCTAAATATTGATGAGATACGAGCAGTAAAAAGTTTCTAGTAACATTTATCATCGCCGTGCATAAACGCGATGTGTTCTCGTCGTTGGGTAGGTACGGGTACATAAAGTCGCGTCCACATTTGTCACTCGGACGTCACAAGCCGACAAATGAAGGCTTTGCCACGCCGCCGTTCGCGCACTTTGTGCACTTTGTACAACTTTCTGCGATGACATGGAACTACGTGCTTGTGCATTAACGCGGAGAAGTGAGTGCGCGAGGCTTTACCGCGTTGAGTGTCTTTCCACCAAGTTTTATGCCTAGATAAAGCTGTATAATCAACATGTGAAATTCTTGTTAGAAACTTCAAGTACGTCTTTAGAACATTATGCAATACGGAAGTATTTCAGAGCTGACATAAAACTAAATATTTTAGGGTCTTATTTAAAAACTATCTTCGCTGATCGTATGCATGCATGTGTTCTGGTAAACTTTGTACATCAAAAGTTACATCGTTCGAAAGTTGCGCAATACGAATTGAAGCTAAACTGTTCCATAACATGAACGGTATTCTTCGATCGTCCGCGACATAAAAATAGTGAGTGTCGCTATTTGTCAAGGCTGATAAAGCTTTACAAATGAACCAGCGCCTACGCCAGAGGCGGCCGCCAGCGCCGTGGCTACCCTCCATTTGTTCGGCAGCACGCAACCGACGCGACGGGACATGCCAGATAAATGCCAGCCTAGTTCTAAAGTAAGATAATGCAATACCCCAAACTTGTTTCGTTTTGCATAATATTCAGACACATCAAATCATTTCTCTGTAAGACAACAACAACAAAGTCACCGTATTAGGTTAGCAGCTTGAAATAACACAAATTTTAATCTATCTGCAATATTACTAACAACCGAGGAGAAAATTCACTCGGGGTTCCGACGTTAATTGATGTCGCGTCGCTGGCGAGCGGAGCAGAAACAAAAGCTCACAAACAATTCGCATTGGAGTCAGAGCTCGCAATCCCGATCAAGCGTTCTAGCGATCGCGACGCAGTTTAATGACACGAAAAATAACAAAGGTAAATTGTATTTAGCCCCTGCTAGGTAGGCGTGCCCTCGAGGCGATATATCGATCCGGCTCGATCGAGTACTATTCGACACCGAAGGCAAAGATTTCGGTTAACTCGAGCAGATTTAAGATTTTTCCAATGCGCGCTGGTAGGCATTGATCTTCAGAATTTCCCGCTCAAAAAATCATACTCCTGACCTCATCGATGTACGAGAAATTTAATTGTTTCAAAGGTAAACGCTGCGTTTTACGCCTACGTTCGTTCAATGTTCGCATGTGAATAAATATGAATCTGAAAGCAGTCATTAAATTTCGCTCGATTGCTTTTGAGTGAAAACCTTTTAAGGTAAAACAAGGATGTCGATAAATTCGAAAGCCGACTCGTGCTTACTTTTTTGGAACAGTGTAGCGCGGTTTCATTATAAGAATGTAAATAGAAAGAAAATCAGTCGAAATTTTTTGGTCTCAATATGTTTGAAATTTTGCGAGCGATTGCGGAAGCAATCGGCTGCCGGTGGATGTTTTTTTAATTCACCTTTACGAACCTTCCAGCGCGCATAAAAAGGTGTCGAAATAAAAAAGGAGGAATAAAATACTCAGGAGGCGATGCCACTAAAAAGGCAATGCGCTTAAGTAGCTCTCTTTCTCTCTCGGCTGAAGTAGAATTTTATCAATTTTTGTAGGTATTGTCCTTATAATATTGCGGAGCTTGACGAGTTATTGCCGGCCCCAGACTAGCCGGGGTCCTTTGGAACAAAAGATACTAAGATTAAGCGAGGCCATTGTAAAACGTTGGCATAAGGATGTTGCTAATCGTACTGCGGCAATGGCGCCTGGTGCGTCGCGATACCGCAGCGGCGATATCTTCGCACAACGGGCGGTGGCGGAGAACGACGACAGGCGCTCCGAAAGATTTCTAAGTGGAGAAAACTTTAGCGTCGTCGACGTTCGAGATTGCTCCTTCCTTGGCTATAAGAAACTACAAAATAAAGCATCTTCTACGGAGTACAGTACATGCTCTTCTCTTCGAAGCAGTTCGCATGTATGTTGACGTTAACTGTATTTCTTAATATTTTGCGTTTGTTTCCTTGAGTTGAAATTTTTCGTTTTCTTTGAAAACTTGTGGCGGACTCTGGGCAGCCAGCCAAATAGACAAGTTTTATAAGAGGATCAAATATTGTAGACGCATCTAAATGGAAATAAATCGATACAAATACACTCGTACTAGCAATATTTTAAACTTACTACGAAGTTATCGAGTTCTTATTACGAATGTTTCACTCTGAGTTGCACTTTGTAATAAAATGAACGTATATATCGTATACAAGTACCACCCGCCAATTATATATTACACGAGGAGAAAAAGCAGTCAGGATAAAATAATCTCAACTCGAATTTCAAGCTATAAAACAATACCTGAAAAACGAGGAAAGCTCCAACCGCGACTCGGGAGTAACGCGAAGAGGTTCGAGCGTACATACGTGAGAGATAAGCGCAGGCGACAGGTTGCGAGGCGGGAGCGCGGAGAGGGATAGATAAGTTTATCAGAGAAACCTCTCGCCTTCGTATTGACAGAGCGTCGCAAGGCCCTGATTGCCGCTAAACGGAAGCCGGGCGTGGGAACCGGAGGCTAGGTGAGAGCTTCAAAAGTGCGCTCCCGATAAAAAATCTACGAGCTGGCAGAGATAGAGATAATTTTAAGTGGGTTTCGGGATGCGGGTGCCGGCAGGTCGCAATCTTCATGCATTTTATTTCAATAGCACGACGGTAATGTGCGGCATTTTATGGGGTGATATTGTAAGCGTCGTAGTCGGTGGAAGCGTGATTTAGCGCTATTGCGTAGCGACAAATCCAATTTTTTGTTGAAAGTACTTCCAATTTTATAGAAATCATAAGGTTTATTTATGCTTTGGCGCAAAATGCGTTTATCCATGCTTATAAAATGTTTATTATCGAACGTATTTACCGGTTAATGGCTGTGTTTTGACCCGTCAACACCAATTTCATCTTCAATTGTTTCTCGTGTATAGACATAAATGGATTTTCATCAGAAACGACGTTTTTTTTAGTGTAGCGTTCATGAAAATTTGATAACCGAAAAAATCCTATTGCTAGCGTACGACGTTACGTAAAAGAGATGAGTCACAAATCTTGCGCTCAACAGGTCACGGATAATGAAATACTCTCCCACACCCCGGGAGCTTTTTCCATATTTACGTAACTGTTGTTTGAAGGATTCGACCGCCAGAAATTCTTTGTGGATTTTTCTAAATAACACAGGCTTATCTTCTAATTTTCGATTGTATATTCTCGTTACATGTCCACAAAAATGACAATTTTGTTCTGTTTACTACCTACGAAAATACAGAAATAAAATCTTGCTAAACCTAACATTATAAGAAAATGGTATGAAATTCGTACAAAGAAAAGCTTTCATTCTCTTTCATAGATGTATGTATATGCGACTATGTGGATACCTCGTAGTAAAGATAATCGCAGACGTTTCCATACATTACAGTTACTTAAAGTGTAAGAGTGTTTGTTTAGAGGGTGCTGAGACTGCTGAGCTCTCATATAAAGTCTAATACGGGAAATTCAAATCAGGGATAAAACAGAGCACCCATACGTGTTTAATAGTGTTTGCTATTGAAAAAAAACATTGATTATTTTACAATATAATATGTATGCTTTATGTTTAGCAGCAGTCGCGCTCCTTGTGAAAGAGTTCGTCCAGGGAAGTACTGCCCACCAAGCAGTAATGTCAGCATTACTGTGTTCCGGTTTTGAAGGGTAAGGGTGCTAGTGAAGTTACAGGCACATGGGACTTGTCAACTTATGTTTAGGGGTGACGGGCGAAATGGCAATGCCCCTCAGATCTTTGCGATTTAAAGCTTTGAGTGGCACAGCAACTGTTATGGATAGGCATGTAGCTTACCATCAGGCGCACGATGTTGCAGAAGTAGTCAATAAAAGACACAAATTGAACATTATGGGTGAAGATCGCGGTCAGAATAGCGGTAATATGTCATATTCACTCAATAAATAAGGTTAAAATTCAATGGAATTGTTATCTATTTACTCTACACAATTAGAATGAAGAAAATTAGAGCTTATTTAAAATCTCTTTACGAAACG